CCCCCTCCCCCCATACATTCACCTCGTATTTACCTCCCTCTCCAAAATCATCATACTCTTTCTCTCCCTTCAATCTTCCGCATTCTTCACACACTGGTTTAGTCGACTGATTAATACCACCGCTTATCCAATTATCCCTCCGTCAGCTCCCCAATCACTTGCCCTCCCGTGAACCTTTTAGTAACCTCAACCTTCACTCACTGGTCCCTCCGTCCGTTCCCTCTGCTGAACAAATTCACACGCACCAACAATTTGTCCCCCAACCCGCATAAGCACCCTCCCCCTGGTAATTTCTGTCCCCCCCAATCCATCTTCTCGAAGGCTCACGTATCGGTCGCAATGAAGCTAGGCTATCTGAAGGGCAAGGGTTCCGGGTTCCTTTTATTTTATCAAGGCGCAATGCGCCACAACACGCTCAGACAACTGGGAGCCAGCCCCTATAATCGCCCTGCAATCAATTACACCAGCACAATGACGAACAACTCGAAAACATTGGGGATGGGGGCAATAGCAGCTATGCAAATAGATTCCCCACGAAATGAGCAAGAAAATCAGGAAATCAAGACACAAAATGGACGAGTCAATGCTCCGGGATCCATCCTCTCCCCACCAGGTCCTTCGAAATCATACCAGACCTCACAAGCCACAACATCAGATGAACCAACAAGATTGGACAATCAGATTGCGATGGAACAGCAGGGTGCCAGCTCCCCAGCACTGAACCTGTTCATGCGAGAAGCGAGTGATGAAGTTTTAACGGAGGAGGAAAGGATGGTGGAAGGAGAAAGAAGGACAAAACAAACAACCCTCCAATTATCTCAGTCTTCAAACAAACCATCGTGGGCATAGAAGGTTAGGGAGACTCTTGAGGCAAATCATTAACAATTATGAGGCCCCCAGTCTTGGACACTGGTCTACCAACAGAAGAACTCAAGGTGCCTTTGAGAAATCTGACCTCTGCACGAGCCTACTTCCTGACTCTCTTCCTCCTCCCTTCGGAACAGAAGGTAGTAGACCAAGGAGGAAGGAAGATGTTGATGAAATCGTACCCTGCAGATAAGTTGGCTCAAAGAGATGCAGTCTACACTAAACACGCGAGCAATTGGATCTTTTATGATGACTGCGCGTACAGATCAGTTAACGACAAAATTAAATGGATCTGTAAACAGTTGGAATCAATAAAGGATAGCCCAGAAGCAGTCAAGGAGTTCTTCCTGATCCAACCGGTAACACCCACAGTCTTCACAGTATTAAGTCTGTTCGATCAGGATAAGCGTAAAATGAATGGGTGGAAAAAATTACGCTGGGATCATTCAGATGTGCGTATCTACCCTTGGATACCAAAAAAGATAGGTCCCGAGGAAAAGAGAGACCAGTTAATGAGAGACTACTACTGGGTAGAATTGAGGCACATCCCAATAGAGGTTCAAGCAGCGTTCATTCACGACNGTCCCGAGGAAAAGAGAGACCAGTTAATGAGAGACTACTACTGGGTAGAATTGAGGCACATCCCAATAGAGGTTCAAGCAGCGTTCATTCACGACGTCGGACAATACTACAAAATAGTAGATTTCATAGACCCACTACCGACCTACGTGGCGAAGAGGGATGACTATGTGATGTTGGCGTTGGATCTCCCCAAGGACCAACCCTTTTCCCTAGATGACATCATTCCCTTCAAAATGGGAGGGAGATTATACCAAATTCATACAGCACATAAATTCAGACCATGGTACTATAGATGCAAAGCTTATGGTCATCTCTCCACTTAATTAGCTTGTCCACAACACCCTCAGCAGACTGCTGGACTGGAAGGTACATTAAAAAGAGACTCCCTCCGGGCGAACAGATGGTTACCCAATACTCTGGGGTCTGAAGGTTGGGTATATGT